GAGAGAGAGAGAGAGAGAGAGAGAGAGAGAGAGAGAGAGAGAGAGAGAGAGAGAGAGCGGTTGGGAAAATGGAGAACGGTAGGGGGTAGCGAGAGAAGTTGGGGTGCAAAGAGAGAAAAGGAGGAAACGAAGTGGCAGAAGCTGTGGGACGACGGCAGACGGCAAGTTGATTGGGCGTAACTGAGGAACCGCGTTTGAGGAACCGCGTTTGAGAACGGCAGAGAGAGAAGGCGGCAAGAGGAGAAAGAGAACATTTTTCTTAGCAGACGGCAAGTTGATTGGGCGTAACTGAGGAACCGCGTTTGAGAAAAGAGCGGGAGAGAAGCTGAGAGGGGGAGAGAATGGAAGTGCGAAAGGATCAGAGATTTCCCGCAGTCGTGTATCGACCGATGGAACTTATGGTAGAAACTTGTGAAAGCTAAGGAAGGAGGGTTGCTACGTCAGAGTCGCACTGGAAGCACAGACCTAGCGTAAATTAGGCCCGTAGTGTGCTTGGACCCTAGGGTTCCCACACTGCGTGTTCAGTCCTGAACATGGGCCGTGAACTTGCGCGGCTCTACTCGCTGGATTGCCCCAATACCAGACTATCAAATTTCACGCAGAATTCCTAATCACGCGAGACAAGATCCTTTCATGGGAAATAGGGCTCTATCACCCTGTCTTCCTCGCCCGCAGCCAGTCGGGAAAGGAGCTCTGAAAAACTCGTCCTGCCGTAATCTGTACTTCCTTGCGCTCCACTCTTTCTCTCCTTTCATCGCTGTGTTCCTTCCGCTCTCCTTTCTACCAACCTCATGTCTCAGTCTCTCCCTCTCTCTCTGTGTCTGTCTCCCCCTTCATTATTCGTTTCCCAGGCCCTTCCCTCTCTTGCCCCCGGTCCCCGCGGGTTCTCTCGCGCGCTCTCTTTTGCTGCCCACCTCCTGTCTTCCTTTTCGCTTGATCCGCAGTTCTGCCCTACACTCTCGTAGTGTCCTCGGTTTTGAAGGCAGTCATTACCCATCATCATCAGCCGTCACCTGGGCTTCTCTCACAGAGAGAGCTGCGAGGAGCGTCTACGAACGAGGCTCCTGCGCTGAGCGAAATGCCCTGCGCTTCCTATATATCCCTTCTATTCAAAATACTAAATCTTCAGACGCGACTTCTTTCAGCCGTGTTCTTGCATTTCTCATCCGTCAATCATCTTCACCTCTTCAGTCTGTTATCCTAGCGCGGAGAGACACCTTTTTTCCTCTTCTCCGACCCTCCCCCCCCCCCCCCCCCCCCCCTCACTTTCCCGACCTTCATCCCTATCCCCCTCCTCTGCCCGCCTCCCCGCGCCCCGATAGAAAGAAAACCCTGGTTGGCTCCACGGTTTCACTCTCTTTAGCGCTCTCACTCTTCCCCGCGGTCAATGTCGGTATCATCACCTCTGCCCCAGCTATCGTCTCATTTGTCCGTTCTTTCTTCTCTCCTTTTCAAGCGGGATTTTCTTTCCGTCTCCTCTTCCTGATTCTTCGCGCTCGATCTTCTTTGTCTGAGCTCTCCTCCTTTTTCCTTTTTCCTGGTCTTTACGTGAATTTTGTCATGGAGCCATTTCTCGTATTGTCCGTTCTCATCGCAGGTTTTCCTGTTGATCTATTTCGGCTTATGTCGATGGCCAGGATTCGAGCAGGGTGGAAGATGAATGCCACTGCTTTCCGTTCTTGTCATGCTGTGGTCCTGCTCGTTCTCTCACTCCGCTTTGCTTCTTCTGTTCTCCTCGATTCGCGCGAGGACTGTTAGTAGTCAATCTTCCTCATGTTTTCTCACCCTGAGGTTTCCATCAGTCGACGGAATCTCGATCATCTTCTAGAACCCTTCCAGAAATGTTTTTCCCTTATAAGGAAAAGTAAACAGAATGTAAAAAAGAAAAAAAGAAAAAAGAAGTAGATTGTCTTCCTAGGAGCTTATGGTGCTTTAGAGAGTGGGTGGGTTGGGAAAGCCAATTCGTCTGCGAGTTCCGGACTCTTTTCTGTCCTCCATTTCATCATCTTCGTACTGTAGCTCGATTGACGCCCTACAACGAATTATCTCAAACGGGTGAAGCAGATGACGAGAGCGTGCAATCCCCCAAAGGCATCGGTTTGCTATCGTATGTGCTTCATTCGCCTCCCTGTCAAAATATTGTCGTTCTCTTTTTTTTTTTTTTTTTTTTTTTTTTTGGAAAAACAGGGCCTTACGGTCCTGGCTCCTTCTATTCTGGGGAGCGTCAGTCCGGTTCCTATTCCACCGGCAAGTCAGAATGCTCATTACATTGAAACTTAACCACGCTTCCTTCCCTTTGGCCGAAGGACCCCTGAACAGCATTGATTGTCGTTTTCATTTTCTTTTCGGCCCTGTTTCTTTTTTTTTTTCACTTGTCCATCGTCTTCTTGTCCGTGTCACGTTCTCTCTTTGATCGATGTCTAGGGCAACCTTCTCCGTATTATGCCCCCGAGTCTGTTCGCAACCTTTGTTCTTTCCTGACGCCTTTTCTTCTTCTCTTGTCTCTCTGTCCCACTTTCCTGTTGTTTGTTCTGGTCTCTCTATTATCCATTTTTACCCCTCCTGGTATTGTTTCTTAGTATCGCCTCTCGACCGTGGTGATGGTGTTTCCCTATTTTTTCCATACATATACGGTTGCTGTCCACTTGTCTTTCATTCACCCCTCTGCCACGTCCTCTCCGGATGGGCTTCTACCGTCTTCACCCGAATAGAACACCTGCTCATCATCGCTGCATCTGGACTGGAAGTTGCCCCAAATACAGCTTTAACAACCAGGCTAAGACGGCAGGGCACGATAGTCCGGTATGCGAGTATATGGTCACGCCGTCTATTATGCGCTCGTCCTTGCCCGTCTTGTCCTTCAGTCCTTCGAGGGACAGTGTTATGTAGCTGGAAGAGGTGATGCAGCAGCCTATTCATTCTCTCTGTCTCTCTCTCTCTCACACTCTCTCTCTCTCCCCCCGTCGTCCTTCCTCTTGCTCTCTCCTCTCTCGTTCTTCCTCTCTCTGTGCGTCCCTCTCTCACTTGTTTAATCAAGATCATTTTGATTAACCAAACCGTCTTCCCCTGGTTCAGTCAACCTGTGCGAACTACTCTCCTGCCCCGACCTATCCCCGCGCTCCACGTTTTCTTTTGCCGCTCTCTGTTATTCTGTGGCAGAGGCTGTCTCGTCAAATCTCGCCGTTCCTGTGGACCGATGCCATTTCCTTCCTCTTTCTCTGATACATGTTTAGGGAAACATCACGTCGTTATTCGAGGCGGGTAGATGTTCATTATTATGATCCCGGGGATGTGGGGGACGGGGTAAAAAGGCGGTTGGTGTGCTTGCAGCGAAGTCAGCGCGGGCTTTATGTGAGCACGGGATGCACACATCTCGCGCTTATGGAGCCTTCCACGCGTGCGCGCACGTGCGCAACATATTTGCCGAACATCTCATGTCAATTTGGAGGCTGGGAGACGTAGTACGTGGCACCGTCGAGCACTTCAGATGAAGGGGGACGTGATGGAATGTGGGTCCGCATACCATGTCCACCATAAGATTTCGTCGGCTTCGTCGGCTTCCTGTGCAATGCGGCGGTACAGCGAGTTTAGGGTGTGGCGTACCCTGAACGGAAACCATCATGATTGGTAGTGGTCGTAATCACAATCAGACGCTATCCTTCCAAAAAAATGCGCAGCTCAGGAGTCTGTTTTGAGGGAGGTAGGGGATCGAACAATCGGTAAATCCCAGGCATCACTCAGTAACTCGGTCGCTCAGTCACTCACTCAGTCTCTCAGTCAGTCAGTCACTGAGTCAGTCGGTCAGTCAGTTACTGACTGGCTCACTCACTCACTCGCTCGCATACATACACTCGCTCGCGGACACTAACGCACTCACACTCGCTCGCCGAGACTTACTCCCCCAAACTCCCTCACACTCCCGCACACGTACTCGCTCCCTCTTTCCCTCACTCACACTCTCCCTCATGAACGCACTCACACTCCCTCCCTCGTGCGGTTGCGCACGCAAACACTCCCTCATGCGGTTGCTCACTCACACACTCCCTCGTGCGGTTGCTCACTCACACTCACTCCCTCATGCGGTTGCTCACTCACACTCACTTCCTCATGCGGTTGCTCACTCACACTCCCTCCCTCATGCACTTGCTCAAGCGTGGTTCACACACTTTCTCGACTAGTAGCATTACTTTGACATTTCGTGTCCAGCAATTCGACGGAGATGTCAGAATTGCACGCACTCACGCACTCACGCGCTCACTCCGCTCACTCGCTCGCTTCACTCACTTCACTCCACTCACTCCACTGACTCACTCACTCACTCCGTCCCTCCCTCAGTCCCTCATTCCCTCACTCATCCACTTCGCTCCCTCGCTCATTCACTCGCTACCGCACTTATTCTCTCCCTCCCTCACTCACTCACTCACTCACTTTATTCCCTCGCTCATTCACTGACTCCCTCATTCCCTCAACCTAACTGCTCACTGCTCACTCCTCCCTCCTCCCTCCTCATTCACTCCTCACTCCCTCACTCCCTCACGCTCTCTACTACTCAATTCACTCCCTCGCTCACTCCCTCACTCCCGCACTCCCCTTTCCCGGCACTCCCGCACTGCCGCACTCCCTCCACTCGCTCATTCTATACTCCACTCAATCAAATGAATCAAATGAATCAAATGGGTCAAATGAATCAAATGAATCAAATGAATCAAACGAATCGACAAACGAATCGACAAATGAATCAGTCAATCAGTCCAGCTGTAAGCATTCGTAATTGATGAGTGCGTTGTGTTGCCAGCTCTTTTATTGCCTGATTATTGGTGCACACGGATGGTTATGGCAATCTATATTGCGGGGTCGTCAGCGGTGGGCCTTAATGCCTCACGTCGATACGATGCCTAATCATCGTCGTCGTGTAGCAGTGCTTCAGTGGTTATTGTCCTGAGTAATAACAGCACTGATCGTGAAGTATCGTCCTGTCGTTATCTTCTTTGCGCGCATCCTATCTCGGCAGCCAACTAACAGGGAAGAAGACGGCAGAAGTTCGCGGTTCTCGGAAGGGCCGGGGAAGGAAGGACTTGAATTGCTTAAGAAAGGAGAAGGAGAGGGGTAGATAACGAAGGCATTGAATGAAAGTGGTCAGACACGCTGGGATGGGAGAAATCCAATGAACGAGAGAAGGGCGGCAGAGGGGAACAGAAGGCGGCGTGAAATTGGCGCTAATCTTTGCGGGAGAGAAGACAAGACGGCCTTTTAATGACAAGCGAAGCATTTCTCTGGGAGAGGAACCATCATCCTGTGGGGGAAAGAAATGATGTTCGAGGACGGAGTTAACGGTGGAGAAAGTGTGAGGCAACAAATGTTCAGCGACAGCGGAGAATTTAATGGAAGAGTGGACAAGAAGTAAGGATTCTGAGACGGAAGCAAAACTTCCTCGCGGAGAGAGGAGAAGGGAGAACAGATCGCACCCTTACCCCCCGTTGAACAAAAGAGCTTTTCCAGAAACGACAGGATCAGGCAAAGTGGGTGGAGTGGAACAAATACTGCGGAGGAGATTATACCAGGTAAGCTGAAAGCGACGAGAGCGAACAGAGGGCGATAGGAGAGAGGATATCTTCGGGGCTGGGGCGAGAGAAATCTAACAAGGATTGTTGATGATGCCAGCAAGAATTGTTGATGATGCCAGCGAATGACGAAGGAATGATGAATCTGAACGGAAGAGAAAACCTCGTCAGCATCGATCTAAGCAGTGTCTGGAGGGAAAGAGAGGCAGGTGTTACTTTCGCTCGGTTAGGTCGTCACTCGCGTTCTTTCTGTACGTGAGATCAGGAGTGATGGATGGGATGATAGGAGAGGAGGAGAGAAGAGTGGGGAAGGCATTCCGACTCGGGAAGAATTTCTATGGATGAGAGAAGGTAGTATGGAATATGGAATTAATGCCATGGAAGAGAAGGAGAGGAACAGGTGCCATAAACCCGCAGGCTAACGGAACTGGACAGAAAAGGGATGCCTGCCCGCGGGGGGGAGTAAAGAAGAGTGGAAATAGAAGCCAAACAAGGTTTCTGTAAACTGACAGGGGCAGTTTGATGATTCAGAAGAGAGGAAAAGCAAGAGCTCTGGAAAGGTTGTCGAGGGAGAGTCACCAGGCATTTCATCTCTCGTCTGCTTTCTCAGAAGCGATAGGATTGAGGTGTAGATGCAGCAGATAGCCGTTGATCTCTCTCTATCTCTCTAGCTCCCTTACTCTAGCTCCCCTCCCCCCTCCCGTCTTTCCGTTAATCTGCCCATCGAGCAAGAACGGATGGGCGCTATTTCATAGTAACACGGCTGTTACAGTGTGGGTATGCCCCTAATAGGGGGGCTACCTTAGTATATGCTGCTTTCAGCTGAGGGCATAGTTGGGCCGGCTTGGAGTAGTTTTCTGTTAGCTCCTCTCCATGGGAGCGTCATTGTATTTCTGAATGACGGGAGGGCTCATAGCTCTAGCACGGAAGTCTGATTCTGGTGACTGCTTCAGCGTTGAGCAGGATTCTGTTTTCGCCCCCGAACAGCATCAGTGAGGGTTCTGTGAGTTGGTGGAACACAACTGTTTGCTTCGCCAGCTCTCTTGCAGTTGAAGCGCGTCGTCTATGACGTATTCCTCTGGAATTGGCCTTCGCATCTAGTGCAGGCGTGGAATGGCTTCCTTCTCGCGGGATGTTTGCGTAGCTGATGCATGCGCCGAAGTGATTGCTGTGTCTGTGTAAATCATCTCTGCCAAGGGAAGATGTCGATTGGTTGAAGTGCGGAGCTTCGCACCATTTCTCTTTCCCTCCTTCGTCAGCCGCCGTTACTCTTTTGCACGGTTACTTCAGCGGCTGCCTAGTCTTTGGCCCCCACATTGACAGTGCAGGAAGGGACATAAGCAGGTCTTTTCGTTTTTTTTCCCCACTCCCTTTCCTGTGTGTGTTCAATTTAGTGAATTCCTTTTCCCTGTGTGTTAAAGACATTTTTCTGTTCAGCTCTCTCCCTCCCTCTCTCTCTCCCTCTCTTTGTCCCTGTCTTAAACCCTCTGTCTCTTTCTGTGTCTGTCTTTACTTGCTATTCCGTGCTCGTCTTCTATTTCTTTTCCTCTCTTTCTCTGGGTCATCGCCAGGTTGCCATGTTTTGAAATTTTGAACAGCTGTTACGAGTTGTGATCTGCCTCCGTGTGCTCTTATCGAGGCTTGACTCGAAAATGGACATTCATCCTTGTTGGGGTTGAAGGGATGAAATCTTCTGAAACTTGTGCAAATAATATACCATTAGAATTAGAAATGTCAGATGTATGTGCCGAACCCCATGTAGACGTCACTTGTGCCATGAGACCAACATGCTCACGGCTGAACTCTGCATTGAGTGTCACCGGCTCCACTATTTCGTCTGAAGGTTGGCTCTCTGTGGGGATCGTTTGTTATTCTATCTTCTTCAGTGAGGATCGTTTGTTATTGTATCGTCTTCAGTGAGATGTGCCCTCTGTGGTCTTCATTGGAGTTTGGGTTTGTAGTTTATCCATTCCCTTCCCAACTGTTCCAAACAAGATTGCAGTACACATGGAATTTCTAAGGGTCTCAACAAAGGCCTCATGTGACGACAAGACTCCAGCCTGAAGAAAAGCAAGATGGAATCTAATTGACAAGTGTCTGCCATTGCATCGCCAAAATGTATGTATGCATTGATGGTGACAACGAACGGGCTCATTATTTGACTCTGGCGGTGATACTATGTGACCCTTTTCTCCATGATGTTTTGCTGTTGTGTGCTCTGCTGCCAGAGTCCAGGGTGCGGAGGGTGGAAGAAGGAGGCCGCCTCGTTAGTTGGTGGCGATGGATGAGGCGGCAATAAAGAAGCAGACGGATTGTTTGTATTATATTGCATCGCCGCTGGCATGCACCAAGGTGATAAATACAGCTTCCTAGCAGTGAATTTTAAGCAGGCAGGCTTCCCCACAGCGTGTCTTTTTAACACACACACATGAAGGAAAAACAAGAAGAAAAGAAAAAAGAGAAAAAAATGAAAACATTTTTTCCCCCCAGAAAATTCGGAAAAGGAAAAAAAGAGAGGAGGACAAAGGGACGGAGTTTTGATGGTGAGAAGATAGGTGCCGACTGTACATTCCAACATGGTTTAATTTTCAGTGCGAGATTAAGAGGACAGACTTGGAGTGGATGTACGAGTCTATGTCCAGAAAGAAGAAAAGAAAGTTAAGAAAACACAGAAAGATGGAGGACAGTTTGATGGAGCACTGCAAACACAACAGCTCACAGATATATCTGGCTACTGCGTGTGGGTGACAAGCTAGTTGTTGATTTCTGTTTTATGGGTTTTGTCTATTCGCTTTGTCATCATGGCCTTTGGATGGGTTGTGCAAATCACCTCCTTATGTTGTGTGGCATCCACTATGTTATCCTGGAATGACGCACCTCTCCTTTTGTTGCTGGATGAGCTTTTCCATGTTAGATCTATTTTGCCTTGTATATTCTTGTGCTGGGCCTGTTTCTCCTTCGTTGCTTCTTCTCAGTGGCTACCGTCTTCCCCTGAACATAACGCATACGCGTTGTATTCAAGGTTTCCAAAAAAATGGGTTTTTGGAAAGTTACCCTTTTCTTCGAATACAAGGGCACTTTGAATATAATGCATATGCGTTGTATTTGAATAATACGCATATGCATTATATTTGAATTTCACGAAGATAAAATTTTTGTATTTGAATATAACCTTTTTTTCCCCCCTCGAAGGTCAATGCCTGTTCCGTTCTTGCCCTGGTGAACGGGACAGGCCCGTGCAGACCCGTAATCACAGATCACTGCCCGTGCTCTCTCTCTCTCTCTCTCTCTCTCTCTCTCTCTCTCTCTCTCTCTCTCTCTCTTTGTGGCCTTCTTCAGGCAAGAAACTGCCCTCCAGGTCACTGACACGTGCTGCAGGGCTCTCTCTCTCTCTCTCTGTGCCCGAAGGCGCTTCTGACAGCCAAGAATGTGGCGCGGCCAAGAAAATGGAAAAATAAGGAAGTCACTCACCAAGGTCTCGCTGTACTACCGTGGTCACCGAGACAAAAAAGAAAGGGGTTGTATTTGTCCACGGTCTAGTGGAAGATTCATTTGCATTTTGCACATTTGCTGAGGAATGGAGCAAGGGCCCAAGTAGGGGAAAGGAAAGAAACTCAACCCAGAACATGGAAAGGTACGCCGCTACTTTACTTTTACCTTTTTGCCAAGGCCCCCAGCCGTGGTCCAGAACTGAGCCTACTCAGCCTGGACCCGACGCCCTTGTTCAGGCAAAGCTGGTCTTGTTCATGCGAACATAATGCATATGCGTTATAAACGAATACAATGCACGGAATGCGTTGCATTCATTTACAACGCATATGCCTTATGTTTGGGGGAAGACAGTAGCAGTCTTTGTGGTGCTTAAACCACCACCATTCCCTCCATCCTAAAGTCAGGGGGATCGGTAGCACAGGTTGAAGAGGGCTACCAGTAGCACAGTGGGGAGAACCAGGGGAGTGGGAAAAATGGAAAATGCGTCGAATTGCCGCTGCAAATTATTTTGTGCTTTAGACCTTTTTTTTTTTTTTTTACTATTTTCCTGGAAAGATCATGACCAAATCTACGGACCCTCCAATTTTCAGATTTCTTGACACATTCTTTTGATCGTGAAAAAGCACGGAAGTTGAGGTACTTTTCTCGTTGTCCCACACGTGGTAGAGCAGCAAAAATGGAAAATGAGATGAAATCGTCACCGCGTTTATTTCATGGTCTATATATATATTTTTAATTTAAAATATTTTTCCTGGCAAGACCACGGTGAAATCCAGAGACCCTCTGATTTTCAGAGTTTTTTAGTCATTTTCTGAGCACAAAAGATTGTGGAATTTGGGGTACTTTTTCTATTGGCCCTGACATGGTAGAGTGGCAAAAATGGAAAATGTGAGGAATAGGTGTGGCATTTATTTCAAGGTCCAATTTGTTTGTTTGTTTTTTCTGGTATTTTTCCTGGAAAGATCACAATGTAATCTACAGGGTATCAGATTTTTAGATTTTTCCATTAATTCTTCTAAGCTCGAAAAATTGCCAAAGTTGGCGCTTGAAAATTAAGGGACTGGACCCGCCTGCACCTGCTGGTTGCCGCCCTACCGTTTTCTGTGCTCCTAGCTCTCCGGGAGGCCTACTTTAGGACGAGGGGGGTAGTGGTGGTTTAAGAACAAGTGTTATTTGGCAGGCTGGATCGCGTAACGGTACAGTGGAGCGCTACTGTTGGACGAGGGTAGTGGTGGTCTAAGAACGTGTTATTTGGCAGGCTGGATCGCGTAAAGGTACAGTGGAGCGCTACTGTTGTAGGGTGCACTGCAGTTTGCAAAGGGTTAGAATCCGTTAGATATTGCTGAATGCAGTATATGGCAGGATTCACTTTGGTCTTGCACCGGGTCTCTCAGAGGCAGGACTCGCTGAGTTCTATGCTTCGGTTTTGGAATCCAATGCATGTAATAATCCCAAGTTGATTTTGCCATCTGATTGTGAGTGTTGGATTTCCAAATGAAGTGCTGGAC